ATCCTCAATCACCGCAGTCCATAGTGAGATGTTTTCCCGACTTGCTCGTTTTTGCTCGACGTGAGCGAATTTGCCAGTCACATCCTGGAACAGTTGCGCGCTTGAGTGGGCCCACAAACTTTCTCTCATGCATTGCAGTTCCCAATTACAAGTACAAATTCATTGTGAAACAAGATTACTGAATTTTTAGGGCATGCGACAGAAGCACGGACAACGTGGCGTAGCCAACTCAGGTTGAAAGGTTCTTTCACTTTGGGTTCCAAGATAGAGTTCATACTTCCAGAGTATTTGGGAAGAGGAGTTTCCGCGAAATGTGAAAAATCTACTTCTCCGCCTCTCTCTCTTTCTCTCCTCCTCGGCTTGACACAAATTTGAAAACTTGCGGAAAGAACCGGGAAATGTGTCATGTCCAAGCACCGCTTGACCCTGGGGAGAGTCAAGGACTCGAACCTCTTTCAAAGTAATTCTACATATATCTCGATCTCACAGCAGAGTGGGAGAGGGTTCCATTTTTGCTACTATTTTTTTAAACGCTGCAGTGCCCTAGCGATTTAAGCTTACCTTCTCATGTGGAGCGGTATTACAGACGAACTCCTGCGGGACACCATTGAGATAACGCCCGAAGACGTTTGTGCCAGCCGTTAGCCGACAGTCGACATCCTCTCGTGGAGTCGACGCTTTCAATCCTTGCCCGGCCGTTAATCGATTGAAACTATTTAGAAGCTGAAATGATCTAACTAACGAATGCGATCTCAATATGATGACCTCAGGACAGCCAGAAAAAAGGAAAGCATGAAAGTAGAAAACGAACTCGTCTGACAGGGATGTCAGTATCGTAAATGGAACAGTTTTGTATGCCTGTCGACAGGAACACGTCCGAAGAGAGGCAGCTGAAAGATGATACTTTCTCGAAGCACGTCACATTCATTGCTTAGATTAGCACATGGAAAAAGCGAACCTTGTCTCGGCCATGCCATGCCACTGAATGAAGAAATGACCATTGTCCTTCACACCTGCTTCTTCGGCAGCGAGGTCTTTCAGCACCACGTTTACCCACTAAAACAGCTATTGATTATTAAAAATTGGGAAGAGCACTCGCTGTTGTGAAGCTTTTAATTACGATATATTTTCATTTCCGTAGTGCGTATTGTTAGCGAATTCAAAGGCCACTGACATGAAACATGGTGCGATTGTTGTGCGCTGCATCGGCCAGCTGAAAATGTTCCTGACACTCGGAACGATGATCCCTAGAGTGAAGAAATAAGCACTGTGTGAGCCAAAACGAGGAAAGCACACTTACCCTTTAACGGCAAATCTGCTGGCTCCTGCAATTACCAGGGTTCGCGATCGTGTGTTCTCGAAGAGCGCGGCAGCCTGAGCGCAAACGGGACCGTCAGAATCAAAGTGGGTCGCCGAGTGGTGCATTGGCCTGGAACAAGGAAATTCAATGGGCACGCGTTGAATTGAACATGTGGCATTTTTGTCCTACAGTGTCATCCATTCTACCCTATACACCACCCTATAGTCATGGGAAGGGAAGGAGGACGAGAACTCAGCTTTTGTGCAATTTGCGTCACCACAGGTAATTCTGGTTCCATTCGTAGGTGAATGATACGATAAATAATGCTCCTTGGTAATAAAAGTACAGGTAGTAAGCAGGTGAGGGAAGAGAATGGCAACCTGATAGAGATGGGACCCTCGTTCTTTCCGTTTGTTTCTGCTCCGGACGAGTAAAAAAGGGAAGTAGTTTACCTAACAGCCCCTAGCACTATGCTAACATATCACTCTTTGTTCGATATGCATAACACAGGCAAGGTAGAAGATATGGCGGCTTGGAAAGAAAATTCTCAAAAATGACACGCGAACGATGATATCAGCATCCACCACGCTTATCATTTGTGATCATTCGGCTGATTTGGAACGGGCATATCCATGAAAAAATTCAGCGTCACGGGTAACGTCTTAGACAGGTGTCAGACTTGGCGAACAGTCGCTTGCGAATATTCACTAAGTCTGGCAATTGCCTTACTATGTAGGTTGCTAAAGACGTGCTCTTAGCCGCGAAAATAGCTCGTGATTTCCTTAAAGGAGCTTCACTCCATAGTACGTATATTGTTCTTCGACCCCCACAATCGTGAATGTGGTAGTCATGGCAATCTTGGGTTGCTTCGTATTCACCAGTTGCACCATCGGTGTGGAGGCAGAAAGGGTAGAAAAGGGGTCTTTCACAATATTCGAAGCAGGAAAAGTTCCATGCCGGTCACGACACGTTCCTTTTAAGCCTATATAACTTCTTCACTTCGAATCAGTTCGAAGAAAATGAAAACTCTGTGAAGATCGGCAACTGTATACTGTCTCTGATACCTTATCGTCAACTTTTGCAACGGAAATGTAAAGGGTTTTTAGAGAGAATCGGATGACAGCTCCTACGACTTACCCAGGAAACTCTTTCAGCGCTTTTTCAGATTGGTTCTTTGCATGTTATAGAGGCACGCGCAGAGAGTGTAAACCACATGATCATTTTTTCGAGCTGCTTTGGAAATGCGAAGAACATGTCGGAAGAGCTGTAGTTCGATCCCAACTGGAGGCATATTTTTGCATTTCTCAGATCTCCATTTTCCTGGGCTCATGTTTGTCTAAACTTAATCAGTGAAGAAAAAGTTTATAAAAGGATAAAGGATAAAGCATTTGCCGTTGATCAATCCCTTTTTGGGATGCGGCACGCATTCTACTTCCATTTGTACATTCGTAGTGGCGTTTGAATGCGATGTGGCCTATACAATGACTTGCGGGGCCAGCCGATGTACAAGTCATCCTCCCAGACAAGTCTGGTACCAATTAACCGACCCCGGAGGGATGGAAGGCTTGGTTGGCCCGGGCGACTCACGACCCAGGATTTGATCCCCGGACCGCTCGCGTGGTAAGCGTGCCACTTGCCACTACACCACTTCCGCCCTAAAAAAGCTTCCATATTGCAAATATTCTGCTCTATAGTTGTTGTAAAGTTTATTAAAAATGGAAAAGTATCATTTCTCAAGGGGATTTCTGCTCTTCTCTGGCAGTCGCAGAGCCGCTCAGAAAAAAAAATGGTCACCAATTTTGTCCACGCACGTGTCCCTATAACATGCAACAAACCGTTTTAAAAAAGCGCTCATGACCTGACAGATTTTCCTGGTAAGGCCGGTTTCAGAACTCGCGAGACCAGCGAATCGCGTGAACGAGTGGTGCGCCAGTGGTTTGAAGGGTGCACCAATGATTCAAGCGTGTGAGAAAATGACGTGAGTCCCTTTTATTCGGCCTTGACTCTCGCCTCCTCGCGAGGGCATGATAGCCTGGGAACGTGACGAGACAACACGCGAAGATGGGTCTCCCCTACTTTTCTGACACTCATGAATCACTACATCGGCACATCACTGAAACCGAGACGCACTGCTCAAACCGTAACGTCTGACAGTGGCCTGAAGAGAAAAGCCGTGCGTCTCTCAGTCTTCGTTTTCGATGTCTTGCACATCAGTTGCGCCCAAAACAGCGAACAGCTCAACCGGACTTCCCACATTCAAAAAATATGGCAGGACAACAAACCGGAGCGCATATGCTTTTGATGCGATCACTGTATATCCCCACATTCGAGGAAATCGTTGTGCTTCCTTGGGAATCAGCTCGTGAATCACACAGAATTGTCCCTGAAATGAGATGAAGGAGATAAGGCTGTCAAATTTTGAAAGAGCGGAAGCAGATGGGAAGGCCCGGCATAAGTCTTTGCACAAAGGCGGTGAGTACGATAATTGATGTCTATCGAAGTGAAAGCAGAGATACCAAACAGCGCAGCAAAGTGGGAGAGATAAGAGTTATGAATCTGAAATCCGAGAAGTGGGCCCTATATAGCTTCTTGATTGTGGACAAGTTTAGTTTTTTTTAGGTGGTAGCCTCTTCGGTGAGAGAGCCCGAATAGAATATATCCTACATACTGGGCGCTAAGGGCGGAAGTGGTGTAGTGGCAAGTGGCGCGCTTACCACGCGAGCGGTCCGGGGATCAAATCCTGGGTCGTGAGTCGCCCGGGCCAACCAAGCCTTCCATCCCTCCGGGGTCGGTTAATTGGTACCAGACTTGTCTGGGAGGATAAAAACACTGACTTGAACATCGGCTGGCCCCCGCAAGTCATTTAATAGGCCACATCGCACGTCCATGACGCCGGCGGACGCACTACGCAATGTAGCGAATGGAATGTAAAGCGTCGCCGCATCCCCAGAAGGGGATGATCAACCGGCAGAAGTCTTCTAGCTTTTTATACTGGTCGCCGCCAGAAACATAGCACAGCAATCTGCGCATACAATTTGCAATCGATATGCAAGGTGCCTGTCTTATTCTCGTCCTAGTCTTCGTGCTTACTCGTAAGTGCAAGAACCTGTTCCAGACGTATGCTGCTTACCCGAAATCTGCGAATGCTACTACGGTTGAGTGATACAGTCACCTTTGCTGAATCAGTGAACCTTCAATGTTGACAGTTTTTGACCAGCGAAAGCTATCAGCGTTCTGGTGTATATCCGAGTGCTATCAATAGACCGGCCAAATGCAATGAAGAACAAAGAACTGAATACAATCGTTCTGGATGAGGAGGGGTTGTTTCTGTGGCGACCGCAACAATCTAATTGTAAGGATGGTGCAGTGGAATTTGCTGGTAGAACGCAAATTTGCCGGATGTCACAAAAGATGGATAATTAAGACTCTTCGGGACATATTGCTGCCAACTGCAACCCTAATCTTGGATGGATGTGCTGTAGGATCATTTCTGGAAGCAGAGGCTTGCATAAAACTTCTTACTCCTGGGGATTCGTGAAAGAAATCGATCCAGAATGATTAGACGGATCCCATATTGCATGTCACAGTCGACGGTTCCACGGTGCTTGTCAAGGCCAGTGCAATTACAAATCAAGGAATTTCGGAAATTTGGTCAAGGTTTACATTCAGAATGGAACAATGAACGTTATTGTGTTTTTGGTTTCCCAGAATTGTGGCACGCTCATCCTAAGCAACTCGAAGTCATTGCCGTAATTTCGGCGCACCCTGTACTATAAGCGCTTCGACTGTCTGTCTGTCTGTCTGTCTGTCTGTCTGTCTGTCTGTCTGTCTGTCTGTCTGTCTGTCTGTCTGTCTGTCTGTCTGTCTGTCTGTCTGTCTGTCTGTCTGTCTGTCTGTCTGTCTGTCTGTCTGTCTGTCTGTCTGTCTGTCTGTCTGTCTGTCTGTCTGTCTGTCTGTCTGTCTGTCTGTCTGTCTGTCTGTCTGTCTGTCTGTCTGTCTGTCTGTCTGTCTGTCTGTCTGTCTGTCTGTCTGTCTGTCTGTCTGTCTGTCTGTCTGTCTGTCTGTCTGTCTGTCTGTCTGTCTGTCTGTCTGTCTGTCTGTCTGTCTGTCTGTCTTCTGTATGTGTGTGTCCGAAATTCCCTAACTCCTCGGGATCCGCCTGGAGAGACCTGGGTCAAGTGTGGGATGGATGGGCAGGGTCTGACGAAGTATTAGATCGATCGATTGATCGAAGAAAGTTCTTGCGCTTTTCGGTGTTTCGTTTTTGAACGCTTTATTTCGTTACGAATTCAAACAAACTGCCAATGAGCTAAATGGGGTTCTGATGTGCTTTTCTTGTTCTATCTAAACAGCTAGGCTAGATATGTTCCTTATTATTTAGTTATCATTTTTTGAAGCCTTGAAATACGGCATACTCCAAGAGCAAATTTGCATGATTTCCTTTTTCTAGCTCAAAGCAGGCCAGTATGGAGAGGAAGCAGGTCAAGATATTATAGACGCACTTGGCTGAGATTCGCAATAAATATGGTCTGAAGCAATTGTTCAAAAAGCTTTTGTAAGAATAGCGAGAGCCCTAAAGATTGTGAGGGTGGTGATCGGAGATTGGACGAACGCCAACGATTAGTCGAACGTTCTGGTTGAAGCACGTTTGCACAAATCTATTGAGAGGGTTCCTCCTAAACTAATCGCACTTGCATTGTGTTTTCTTGTTGTACGGGAAGAGCTGGAAAGTCCCAAAAATCCAAATAGGGCGTGCCGCGACAGCTCACCATTTTGAAGGGTCGTTCGCCGCGTTCTAGCTTGTTTCATGCCATGAAAACGACCTGACTTTTTGATCATTACGCAACGCACGACATACAAGTAGATATTCTACGCTACAGACTACGAACCTTTGTTTAAGTGATCGACCGTGATCAGGCTCTACAAACTTTGCAAAAGTGAAAATTCACTCGGCGCTACTTCTTTTCTAATTTTTTGCATCTATTCTATAGACCACACCATAACATGACTAGACACGGCAAGGTTCATCGAATGGTTGAATATGCTCCTTTTTAGCAAAGGTTTTCCAAGTCCTACGAATTTCCCAATTGTGTTCATTCCTAGTTTTCTTTATATTCTGACAACCTCGGTCATAAAAAAGAGTAGTAAAAGCAAGTATAGACCTACACATATAGCAAGATACAAGTTTTTAGTGGAGCAACCGAGTCAAAAATAATTTTGAGGTCCACTACAGCAAGAGCTACTGAAAATTGCCTTTTCATTGCCAGAAAACGTCCATTCGATTGAACTTTTACAGTTGTTCCTTCTGAGAAGTTTGATACATCAAATATCATTCGAAACATTTTGTTGCATCCGGGTTTTGCATAGTTAAAGCTCAGAATTCACGGATTTTATGTGAAGCGGCGGCGCCTGCAAAATCGCTCTGGTCCCACGCGGTGCAAAAGCCCAAAACACGCGTTGTCGTCAACACGTGTTAACAATAAATTACCTTCAAAAGAAGTCCCCGTCAACCGGAGAACAACGTGGATGACCGGTCCATCGACAGGAAAATAATAAAATGCTTTGTCGTGGGATTGCAGGGCATGCTCGAAGTTGCGGCGGAGTCTATCCAACAGACAATATAGCTTGGTTCCAAATCTAAACCACTAAGAAGTGAGTAGAGTCCGGCAACGGAATGGAGGCCAAATTCTATTGCGGGTGGAGCGTCACCGAGGTAGACGACTTCTGAAAGCAAGCGTTTTAAAAATATCGATGAGGCCCTGTTTTATACCGCGTCAGCAGTTCCGTATGCGTACGCATGCGTGCGCAGCCAAACTGGTGTAAAATATATAAGAGATGAGGCTTCGAGACCGAATGCAATTTCAGAATGAAATTCGATTGATAAACAATAACCGAGAATAATGGCCGTATCATAGAGTATCATAGAGCTGGGGCCGGAGCGGTTTCAAAGAGTTGAGCTTATCTGTGCTGCAGCAATGCATTATAGAACTAGTTGAAGTGCCAGACCTCGCTTCTTTGCAGTCTGAGCACCACTGAACACTGATGCCGACACTTTCCTGCTGCGGACCTTCTTTATCGTAATCAGGATCTCTGAGAAATCCCATAAATTATAATGAGAACTTGCCTGTAAAACAGTGATGTTCAAGTAATTTTTGAGGGATGCATAGTTCTTCAATAAATCTTGGCCCAGGCTGTCGAATACGTCCAAGCGATAAACATGCGAAATTAACTGAAATACCAGAAAGTTAACTGAGGATCCTACTGATTACAGACGGGGCAACACCGAGTGGGACTGTCAGCACATGCATGGGCTCAGGATAGTTTTCTTCTTCGGTGTTCACGTTCAAGGTTCATCAGATTCCCACACAATGACACAAATATCTCCATAAACAATAAAGGTTCCGTCATATACACTGAAACACTTAGAATAGCTAACACTTGTTCCGTTTTTGACACCTTTACTGAAAAACTAACAGAATTCATAAGAGTGTTACTAGGAAATGGTTACCATGAGAACTTTATTATAACTAATATAGTTAAGTGCATTTATAAAAATAAGTTTATATGTTACAAATTTTCAATTGCTAATAATTATAAAAATATTAGTAAGTTAGTGGAAGGAATACTTCGTCACTAAAGTGCTATCTAATTGTTAGTGGAACAATTACAAACACCCACCTTTTACACTTTATAGTTTTACATTTTTAATCAACTTATTTTTTCATTCATTTAGTCAATATACAATTCATTTCATTGCATGCTCCTCTGCATGAAAGTACGTTACATCAAGGTTTATTCGTCTTTCCCCTGTGTCTTTATTTCGCCAATCCCAACTCACTGATGAGCTCCGGGGATTGACGAAATAATAAGGTTCGTCTGAGGAAGGAGCGAAACGAACCGTATCTATTATTTTGTTTATAATGGTTTTTCTTTCTTAATTGGCTTTCTTGCTGACTGCTCACCTTAGCCGTCAGCCCGAATCTTCAACAGCCGTCATCGATTCTGTACCGAGATTTTTTTGAGAGCAGGACCGGTCTTAGCTACCGCGCGCATGACACGGAAGGCTTCGGAGAGCCAAACGGCCCGTGGAGCGTGGGTTCCACCGCAAGACAATTAGTTGCTCCATAAGTGAAACGCATTAGCCGACCGTTCCATATTTACGTCCGATTTTTTGCTGAAGCTCACTTGAAAAGCGCAGTGGAGTGCGGACCTAGAGTGATGTCAACAACCACCAATCAAATATCAGGATAACCTTACGGTCCAATATATTTGATTCCACTGACGTTGAATGAGAAGTGCCTAGTATACAATAGTCTGAAGCTGTCACTTTAATGCAACGCGAATTAAATGACGTCGACGAATGGACTGCGTCATCTAGAATCTGGATTTGAAGGGATCTTCCACGGAGAATGATATTTCTTATCTTGTGTGTAGGTGTTGTGCAGGTCATAGAAGTTAGGCATGGTCATTGAAGACCATGTGCAAAGTTCGGAGCGAAAAGAATGAAATACCCAAAAGATACAGCACCTGGGAAGGCTCACCTGTAGGACCGGAACGGACCAGTGGGCGGAACCGGAAGTGCTTTTGTGGCATGGGCGGATCCACGTGTAAGTTTATGGGAAGGTCCAACATAAATCCTGTTCACGTTCACGCTTTTGACACGTTTGCACGTGTTGACTCCACGCCGCTAACAGTTGTGGAAGTTTTACAGCGGGAATTCAAAATTTTCATAGTCGAACTGGTTATCATAATTATTATCAAAACCATCGCTTATGTTCCGTTCTTTTTGCTATCTCATGAGGCTAGGGGCCTAAGGTATCGTTTTTCTGTAGGAATGGAGGCGGAGCTTTTCCGTGGAAGATTCCTTAAAGTGATCTGCTGCTGAGACGTGCGCTATTAATTTCGTTAAGTTTTTAAGCGCCTCCTATCAGCCACCCCCACGCAATTAAATCTTATTAAAATGCGATGTGCGTGACTATTGTAAGGAATGCTTTATCGCCACCGCTAAGATATTAATCTCAGTGCCTCCATGAGCTCATCCCTGTTGTTCATTTCGGGGATAAGCGTTTATAGCAAGTGCTTCAAGCAGCTTCCTCTTCTAATGGGGCATCCTTGTGCGGTGTAATATAGCAACTTTAAGGGTGGGGGGCTTCTTGTCGGTGATAAAGTACACGATGTCGCGAGAACGCACTCCTTGGGTAAGAAGATGGATTCCGCAGCGCTCGTGTATGTTCCTCCATCCGTTTATGTAGCGGGCGTTTCGTTTCACCAACGTATTTCTGACCGCATCCTTCACATGTGACCAAATACACTGTATCCACGTAGCTGACAAATTTTATGGTCGACGCAGTACGTAGTTACCTCCGGCACGCTTTTAGGTTGCAACTGGTCGAAATATCCAATTTGACTGGAAGACCTGACGACTTGATGACATGGTTCACTTTCTTTGCTATTCTTTCATTCACGTACGGTAAAACCAGCGGTGTTCCTCCTGCAGCATAGAAAGGACGCTGCATCCTTGCTGATCCGTCGTATAACCATTTTCTTCCAGAATTCTTGCGATTTTTCGATCCACCTCTTCTGATTCTCTAGTACTGGTCCTTGTCTTCGTCGTGATAAGGTTTCTTATCACGTTGGCTTTCATGTACAGCGGATGCGCACTTCGAGAATGCAGACGAATATTCTTTGACATCGGCTTCTTATACACTTCGAATTCCTTCGTGCCATGGATATGCGTACCTCGCGCTCAAGAACGGAAGGTAGCCGCATTCATCCGGGCACTCCACAGTGAAACGTATGTTGGGACCACAGGAGTTCAACTTTTGAGGCATCGTTTGCGTCTCTCCAACTGTGGAGCCGATAAAAAAACATTGTCTACGTAGCGTTTATAAAATAAATACAATCCCTTCGATCATGGATTTTCTTCGATACGGTCCAAGTATTTGTTTATCCAATATCATACGATCTAAATATTTATCACCGACAAGAAGCACTCCCCACAATCTTAATCGTGCTAACTTACAATATCACAATGCGATGCCCCCCCATTAGAGTGAAGCTGTTTCTTCGTTGTAGCCGCTTGCAGCCAAAACGCTGCATGCCTTCGAAAATAGAAGCAGCAGGGATGAGCTTCATGAAGGCACTCAGATATGGACCGCTTAGCGGTGACTGATAAAGTATTCCTTCAATAGTACAGCTTCATCGCATTTTAATATTTTATTTGCTTAGGGAGTGTGCGCAGAACGCGCTTCCCGAGTGCATTGTGTATTTAACAAATGTCATGTATATTGTATTGAGAATTTAGCGGTTATTATCACCAGACAGGTTAGTACTTTCGTGAGCAAATGCTTTGAACAATTTCAGTGCGATGTATTCGTGTATTTGATAAATGATTTCAAGGCCTGAAGAAGCTGTTATACAGCGAAAGATTGCCAATGAGTGTGTATGAATGAGCCTTCACTGCTAATTTCTTGAAAAAGATCTTACACAAATGAGGCTCAGGATTACTTGATTTTGCCAAAAATAAAAATTGATGCAAGGAATGAAATTGAGAAGTGGTGAAAAAAAACTAAAAAAGAATGTCCGTCGACGGAAGAGGCAGTCGAACGGTCTCGGTATTCCGGAACTGGGTGAAGCGGTTCCGACATAATCCCCCAACACGTCTGAGCTTCGATTGATAGATAGATCCAACCTGCAAAGAAGGTTTCACACTTCTCGAGTTCGTCGACCGTTCCTACATGTTTATGTAGAAACAAACGCGATCCTGTCAGCATTTAGTCGACCAAGGAGTGGAAGCGTCCTACATAAGAACGCTGGCCGATTGCAATCGTCGCTGCACCGCAACGGTGCAACTATTCCAACGACCTCTCACCATCCCTTTGGGGAAGGGCGTGAGACAAGGCGACACCATCTCGCCAAAGTTGTTTACGGCTGCGCTGCAGTGGATAATGAAGTCGCTCGATTGGGATGAGAAGGGCATTCGTGTGGACGGACGGTACCTTTCAAATCTGCGCTTCGCCGACGACATCGTTCTCTTCTCAAGTAGCACTACGGAAGCTGAGACGATGCTCGCGCAAGAATAGAATTCAGGAAGGGGAAGAATGGAGGGTGTAGTTGCGATCAATCTGGAAAAATACATAGTTCATTGAAGAACGCTGTCCGATGAGGTAAACCAGAATTGAATGGCCCACCTATCTAAGTCAACATTTTACGTTTACTCATAATGCTGTTTATCTCGGACTTAGAAAGCAGCGTGGGAAGCCTTCGGCCTTTCTCTGAAAGAAGTTACCAACCATCTCTGGCTGACCCAGAACTTCGTGCGCATTTGTTTGACTCTACAGTTCTTCCTGCGCTTTGTTACGCGGCTGAGACATGGGTGAGCAGTGCATCCACGTCAAGGACTTTGACTGTAGCTCACAGAGCGCTCGAGCGATGTCTTTTGAGGTTTAATAGATTTACTCAATATCGAGCTGGACTCCACAGCGCAGACCTGCGCAGAATGTCCCATCTCCGAAGACCCTGTGGAGTACATGACAAACGCCAAACTACGATGGGCCAGTCATCAGGAGCGAGAGCAGATGACAGGTGGACAAGAAGAACGGTAGAGTGGGCTCCCGTAGGATTTTCGCGGTCCAAAGGGAGACCTGCTGCGAGATGGGGAGATGCACTCGTCAATCACATAAAGCAGCTGCGAATGCAGCTAAACGATGCTTCAGATCGCCGTCTCCGCCGACTTCTACAACAACCATGGATGGCGATTGAGATGGTTGTTGCTGGTGCTCGCAGATGAAATGAGGATGAGCTGTTTAAGTAAGTATAATATAAGTAAGTTCTCATGGTTTCTTCATGACCGCACCACCAACCACATATGACATGTTTTGATTTCTGATGAGCTGCTTTCCTCATCACAAATTCCGCCTCAAGGTGATCAAGCAACTGTAAACAGCCTTCCTGCTTCAGCACAGAAGTCTCCATGTAACCGCGACATTTCTTCGGCAGAAAATAACGGTATCCTACCTTTCGCATGTCTTCTTTCTCCTCAGTCGTTGGTAGGCCTTCCTCCCATTCCTCAACAGTGGTGGTGTTTGTACGAGCGAAATATGTTTCCAGAATGATATTCAATTCAGCTATCGAGGCATTTTGAGGTATGGAATATGCTTTAGGCAGTGAATATTTCTAGAGATAGCGCAACCAGTAGTTGGAAAGACGTCTTCAGTAGCATAGCACCTACAATAGCTCAGATGATTTGAAAAGAAGTGCCTCACGAAGTGCTTTATCCTGTGGGAAAACTGCACTAATCGAAGAATGAGAACTTGTCACTCATACTGATCCCAAAATCATGAAGATAAGTTTGACAAATTTCATATCTAATACCTTAACACGCTGATGAAAGGCTGATGCGCATGCGCGCCAGATATTTGAGGCCGCATTGGGCATTCTAATTTGGTACCAATTTTTCCGCACATGCCCGACATCTTCCCAATTTTTTGTGTTCATTCTATGGGCCATACATAAGCGTACTTAGAAAAACCACATGGCTCACAGAATGGCCAAATATTCTTTAGTTTGGCAGAGGTTTTCCAGACCTTACGAAAATGTCTGTTCATTCATTCCTCGTTTTCTTTTCATTAACACATATAAAAGGGAACAATAGAAGTGAACACAAACCTACTTGTATGGCCAGAAAAGTGGTTTTACTAAAACAACCACTTCCATAAATTTGAAACCACTGAAGCAAAAGTAGGTAAAAAATTTCTCATTCGTCATTTTGGTCAAACTTCCATTACCGTAACTCCCGAAAAGTAAACACATTGAACATCAATGAAAACATTCTGTCGCATACTAGTTTTTCGCATTTACAGCTCAGAATAGACTGCCCACGGATTTGATTTAGGCAGGTGCGCACGCATAATCGCTCTGCTCCTACGCGGCCAAAAAAAAGCCGAAACACGCGATGTCGTCAACGTGTTAAGTTTGTATATAGTCACTGAAACGGGCTTGTGTTTGGAGTTGTCTGTTAAATTAGTGCTTTCACTGTTTATTGGGTCAACCTCACTTATTTTTCTTCAAATTTGACCAGTTCCTCGAACATGTTCCTCTCATTTTTCTGTAAACATTTCTTCCCTTAACCAAAACGGGTCTCGATGATGCTCAGCACATGTGTCCAACTTGCTCCCTTCGGTAAAAGCACCCCATGTCTTGAACCACTCTTGCACATTCGCGGTGCGATTCTTTTGGCCACTCTAACGGTAGAAGACCAAGCCACCGTGCGGGTACCATAGATGTGAATGCACACATTCTGGAGTATATCTGATACGCTGGCATTTAATCTACTTATCATCCTCTACCAGTTGTTATCACTTCCACAGAAGATCTGTGTCCGTCAAGGAAAGGATCCCACGTCGCCATGGCCTTTCAAGATGAGATGCATATTTCTGTACCAATCTTGGGACGCTGAATTCGAATCTGCCCTCCAAATCTGCTAAACGATTCTCTGAACGAAGTTGCGAAATCGTTTATCGGCGGAGAGTGCGTTCATGAGTCACTGGAGCCGCAACGGGGATGTGCTTCGGTGGCGCAGTTGGTAAGCGGATGGACTTGGGGACTCGAGATGGAGGTTCGAATCCTTGATGCGTGTGCTAGTTTTGCCTTTTATCCTTTCGGCTCCTAAACTTTTGCAAAACGGTTCTAGACCTCATTTTTGACTAGTAGCACGCCTTTTCGACCGCGAACACGTGCTGAAAACAGGGTTTTGAGCACAAATTTCATTTCAACCACCAATGCTCGAGGAAGGATCAGAGGAGGATTGTACGTTACACTCAATCGCTCGATTTCGCAGCATTTCGACACCTTTCGCCAATCGTAGTTGACAACATGTTTGGCTAGCAGAGGACTTTGGCACGCGCCACCCCAAGCAAAAGCAATAGGACAAGTCATTTTCTCACTATACTCCCCATTGAACTACCAGTGAAATGTTCTGCCCAAAGGTGGTGTTGTCTGATTTGGTCAAGGAATTCGGTTCCTGCGACATTATGCGAGCACCATCTCGGAAAGAGCGAAAGCTGATAGAGGGTTTCTCCTCCATATTGCGTGACGCATTGTATGACAACCTTCTTATCGACGTCGAGGAAGACAATTTCGTGGAGGACGACCACACCGATCTAAAGGGTCACCCGAATACGATAGCTCCGGCACAACACCTGAACAGTATCGCTTTTTTTATCTCAAATGGAAGAAGCTTGTGATAAGTGATGCTGGACTGCAGTGACCCTCTCTTCATTCGCTGCTCACACTGTGAAAAGTTTTTTGCTTCAACCATTTTGTAATAGGATATCACATGTGTTCTTTGAACGTTTCTAAATGATTTCAGTAATACTCGCCTTGAATAAAGTCTTCAGGTTCTTAACGTAAACAGAAGATGCTTGCGCTTCTCATTGAAGTGGAATTTTCCGTCAAAAACCTGTTTTCAGCACGTGTTCGCGGTCGAAAAGGCGTGCTACTAGTCAAAATGAGGTCTAGAACCGTTTTGCAAAAGTTTAGGAGACGAAAGGATAAAAGGCAAAACTAGTACACGCATCAAGGATTCGAACTCCATCTCGAGTCCCCTA